GATATATGACTGACTTTAATTATCCACAAAATCATCACATTCGCTGTAAGATTAAGGTCAACTATTGAACGGCGTATATTTGAAAGTAATGTAATGTTAAACATTAAAACAGTAATGTTTTAATGTTCTTCATTATTAAACATTCGCACATAAATAAGTGACATAATATTCAGTACTTACTTTAGAAAGTTTACTCTTCGGCCGCTCCACTTCAGCCGTCTGCCATCAAAATTATCCACACCCACCACTACTCTATGAATTGTGGGATATATGGGACCACGAAGCGTACACCAGACCACACTTCAAATTTGGAGAATTCGACGGCGCATTTGAAGACCGCATTTGGAGTACACTTCGGATTGGGACAGCCGTCGTTACGTCGCTGTGACGTAATAGGTCTCAAAATGTGTGCTGTCGCTAAATTTGGACACAGGCATTCTCTCCATACCTGAGAGTGTCCAGTCTCCAGCCTGGATCCTTCAGTCCAGCCGACAGCAGCTCCATTCCCGAGGACCCTGGATGATTGTAGCTCAGGTCCAGCTCTCTCAGATGGGAGGGGTTGGAGCTCAGAGCTGAGGCCAGAGAAGTACAGCCTTCCTCTGTGATAAGACAGCCGGACAGACTGCAGACACAAAACAATCCACCTGTGAACTCTTCACTGAACATTTGTCTGTTTTTCTACTTTAGGAGACAAAATCCAACGATGGAATCCTCCTCACTATGTAATGTAGACACATATTTTTCATTAATAAGCTCACATATAACATTCTTATTAACTTCATTTATATTATCACCTTATTCGTGTTTGATTTTCAGTGAAGAAGAGTCGATATATTTAAGCAAAGTACCCAATGTCTTCAGTTGCTCATTGAATATTGCAGCATATACGCAGTGGGTTATGTTTTCACTGAGTGATCATCTTTTTTGATTCTTTTCCTGTGTTGTTTTTCTGCTGTAAAGACAGATGAAACTTCAGTTTCAAAGAAATGCTGACCTTTCAGTTTCATGTAAATATGTTTTGTAACGGTGTTTTCTCAGCCGCATTCTTCGGTGTCTTTAAATTAGACTCAGGTTGGTTTTCCCCCTTGGTGAGGTTTGTTTTGTGAAGACATGAACACAGTAATCTCACTGGGCTGATGACCAAAACAGCTGCACTAATATCCTTTGGAGGAGGTGGTCTCGGTACATGTAATTATCTATTTACTGCATCCTTGAATCACCACTACAGAGTGGGACTAGGACAAATATCCAGTTTTTAAAACATATCCATATATTTTTATAAAAAAATGTGACAATATCCTTTATGTGGATAGATACAGTGCTGTGTTATAATTTTACTTGTGGAGCTGCTAGTTTGCCTCTCTTTGTCTCTATGTGAAGTCACTCTGCCCCGCCTCTCCATCTCATTGAACACAACGCCCCCACCACCATCACTTCACCTGCAGGTAGGGAAGGATGGACACGGTATCAATGGAAGAGGAGCTCATTGGTAAAAATAAAAAACAATGGCTCAGTTATTTGGAGATGGTTCGGATTCAAAGTGTCAGATGAGCAGCAGAATTAGGGTTGGGCAATATAGCCTAAAATCCATATTGCAGTATAATTTGAAGCATGTGCGGTAGTGATATATATCGCGATATATTATTTTCTTCTGTGTATTTTCCACACTATAAGGCGCATTTAAAATCCTGTAATTTTCTCAAAAATGGACAGTGAACCTTATGTATGAAGTCTGGTTGTGCTTACTGACCTCAAACCGATTTTGTGTGGTACACAGTGCTCAAAAGTCTGTCAAAAAATGTTTTAGTATGACTTTGGTAAACTACGAAGCCGCACCACTTGATGGATTGTCTGAGCATTATGGCTATCGTAGTCAGGAGCCTCGTTGAGTAATCTGGGTCCAAAACTCCGTCCACTTCATGTCCCAAAGTCAAACAAACACTGCAGCATCACTGAGAGTTAAAAACTGTCTAGATTCTTTAATATTTAATAAAATGGTCAGCCTTACTGCTTTATCAGGTGTGCCAATTAAGTTTAACATCCAGGCATCCATGAAAACAGAATCTATTAAATTCAATGGAGTTAGAAGTTAGCAGGAATTTAGCTCGCTAGTTTCTACATAAACATGATATAGCATGTTCTGACTGAGAGATTTCTGAAAAAATTTAAATGTACAGCTCTGCTATCACTTCCAACATAAATGAAGACAGAAAACTACACAACAGTGACTTTTGTCGGGTTACTGAAGTTGGGACAGCTTGTATATCACATAGCACATCATTATGTGCTACGTGATAGCTAGCGACACAGCTATGTTAGCATAAACAGTGAAGCTGGAGGATGAACGCTAACTTTTTTTCCACTCGATAAAAATTAACGAGAGGGTTCCCCATGGTTAGACACAAATGCAATCACATGGCAGGATGCTGTAAACGGACCAAACTTCAGTCAGGAGAACAACTGAGATTATTCATCCACAATACGAGGTTAGTCATTAATATACTGCAACAACATGGGAATAGAGCAGCTATGAGAGAATTCAACATTAATAAATCAAGCTTGATGACACCATCAACATGTGCTATCGTGGTAGAAGGGTATAGTCAAAATCTCTACTGTTGGCCAAATTCATATCGTTTCTACCGTATACCGTTTATACCACCCATCCCTAAGCAGAATAATGTATTCTGTAGAGAATGTGGAAAAAGCATCCCGATAAAAGGTTGGAGCACTGCTAATCTTTTCCACCATAAGTGCAATATGAAGAGTGGGTGACACTACGTGCTGTATCCCAGACCGTGAAGTCTTCCCAACTGAAACCTGTCCGTCTCCAGATAAGCTACTTTCGTCAAGACCACACCGGAGAGCAGATACCCCACAGAGCCCTGATCATATCATAGAGTGTGTCCCCGATTACATGAAGAGACAGAAGGATGTGAGGAAGCCTACATCCACAGAAGATCTCCGGTTACTTCTCCAAGATGTTTGGAACAACTTACCAGCCCAGTTCCTTCAGAAACTGTGTGCAAGTGTACCTAGAAGAAGGCAAAGGGTGGTCCCAGCAAATATTGGTTTGATTTAGATTTCTCTGTGGTTCATTCACTGCATTTTGTTGAAAAGAAATGATTTACACTTCCATTTCGGAAAGCATTCTTTGTTTCCAGCATTTTTTCTCACCTGTCTAAATCTCAAAGCTCAACCCAACAGGACTGGTTGCTATAACAACTGACAATGGAGCTGATATTGTCAAGGCGGTTCAACTAAACAAGTGGCTGAGGATGCAGTGTTTTGGTCACAGACTTCATCTGGCCATTGGTGAGTGCAATACTGAATCAGCTGATTTGAAATAAGAAAAACAATCCTCAGCATGGTGTTAAATAACAAGTTTATAGAGTCACCTGCAGAGCTAAATATGCCTATTGACCACAAGACAAATATGTTGATAAGTCATAGCCTTAAAGCCATAGCCATAGCCATAAATAAAGCATCCTTATTAAATCCAATAACCTTACTGGAGTGTGTTTCTATTAGACTGAGGATTGTGGCACTAAATGAGGACCCAGCTGAGACAAGACAGGGATACATCTTTAAATACATAGTGAGATTGAAAAGATGGAAAAGTATTCAAGTTTCACTCATTTGCTGGTAATTTTACCAAGTTAGTTTAACTAGAACCATTTGTAGGTTCTACGTTACACAACACATTTTACAAATATAGTTCAATCTTATACATCCCTACTAAACAGAGATGATGTTAATTTGCCTTTGAGCAATCTGCCTCTGAACATAACAATGCAAGTGATTTAAAAGTTTGTATTTTGTGTTCCAAGACATGGTATGGATGACTCCCGCATTACCCGGGCTATTTCATGTGGAACAAAGTCGTCAGCAGCTTCTCCTACAGTTGGAGGAAGAGAAGAGCTGAAGTGCAAATACAGCTGGGTCTTCAAAGTCACCAGCTAATCACAGAGGAAGCAACTGACTGGGGATCAAGGCTGCTCATGATAGAGAGGGATCTGGAGCAGGAAAGAGCACTTTCAAAAGTCCTCTCTGTCCACATGAAAACCAGACCTCTTGTCCATACTTGGCAGGACACAGAGGTCCTGGAGGAAGTTCAGAAAGCTCTGAAAGCCCTTCAGGACTTCACTGATGTACACAACAAACACATGCATCTTTCATGAATTATTTTAAATAAATTTTAAATGATTTTAAATGATCATCTGTGGAAAAGTTTGAATCCTGACCTGAGAGTTTCCACTGCACACTGTGAACTCTTTAGTCCACCAGACAGAAGCTTCACTTCTGAATTCTGCAGGTTAGTGTTACTCAGGTCCAGCTCTCTCAGACTAGAGGACTGGGAGCTGAGAACTGACAACAGAGCTTCACAGCTTCTCTCTGACAGGTTACAGCCACTCAGCCTGAAAAATAAAAGAATCTATTTTTTTAAAAAAAGATAGTCAAGCTTGTTAATATATTTAAAAATGTTGAATCCTGTTTTTTTTATATTTTTAAAAGGAAATTTTAACATACTAAAATACAACATCATACGATGAACTTGGATGCCTTATTTAATTGGTTACGTTTAAAAACAAAACGTTTTTTGATCTCACCTCAGGGTATTGAGTTTATAGTTTAAACTTTGTAGCCCAGCAGATAGAAGCTTCACTCCAAAACCCTGCAGGTTTCTGATATTCAGGTCCAGTTCTTTCAGACTAGAGGACTGAGAGCTGAGAACTAAAGACAGAGCTTCACAGTTTTCCTCTGAGAGTTCACAGGCATTGAGTCTGAAAATAAAAACATGAACATAGACTGGTGTTAAAGTGTAATCTGAGTGCAATAACTTATTGTCTTGTGTTGAGCAGGTTAGTAAAACTTCACTTTAACTTAGAAATGATTAAAAATGCTACGAAACAACAAGAAATAGATAAAGTTTTCGTTTAATGGTTAAATTGTTTGATTAATTTGCTCAGTTGATAAAACCAAACAAAAACCAAACAAATAAACAACAAAACTAAAGACAATACAAATTGATCTGACCTCAGAATATTCAGTTTGGCGTGTGAACTCTCCACCGCAGCAGACAGAAGCTTTACTGCTGAATCATTCAGGTTGTTGGTACTCAGGTCCAGCTCTCTCACACTACAGGACTGGGAGCTGACCACTGACAACAAATCTTTACAGCCTCTCGCTGACAGGTTACAGCTGCTCAGCCTGAAAAAAACAAAAGCAAAAAAACACACAAAAAAAAATAATATTTGTAATCAAATGAAATCTGTTTATATGTTAAGCCTGTCAATATAATATGTCTGTGACAATGCATTATTAACTAAAAAAATAAATAAAATTTAAGTGTGGGAGAAAATTTGGATTTGTAGAAACACAATTATACCAGTGTATCTAAATGGAAACGAGTGAAGCGCGGGTAGCTATAGTAGACAGTAGTGTCTGCTGGCACAGGCCTGTGGGTACTACAGTACTACAGGTACTACAGTACTGTTGGTCACTTTAATCATTCTAATATCTGGGATTACTGTAAATGTAGTTATAAATAATGTATCATATGCTGGACTTGGTGCAGACTCTTGTTTCATTTTCTGTCTAAAACAAGCTGCTTTGGCTCATTCCCCTTTGAAGCCCCACCCTCTAAAGTTCAACTTTCGGTGACTGGATAATTTCATAAAGCATGCTGAAGGGCAACAGCTAGTCATCATGAGCTCCACCTCCTCCACCTTCTGGCTTAGAAATTCTAAAAAAAAAAGTAAAATTCATAAAAACATGATTGGAAATAAAATCTTCTCAGATGCAATTTTAAATTTTAGATCGACAGCAACAAAGTTCACAGCATGACATCTCTGTTCAGTAATTATTATGCTCATTACTTGCGTACTGTGAGAAACACTGGATTTTAAACACTCTTCCTGTTAAAGGTGTGTATAAAGGGGACGACCTGAAATGCCAACTTTATGGAGAATGTTTGCTGTCAGGCAATATTAAAGGCAAAACAGAGATCCATCCAGTCTCATCAACTTAGCCCACAGAGAGACAGACAACCATCCTCACTCACACCTGCATGCAGTTTAGATCACCAGGTAACCTAACTGCATGTCTTTGGACGGTGGAAGGAAACTGTGGAGTACCCAGAGAAAACCAACTGTAATTCTCTGGGAACCCTGGTTATGGCAGCCTTACTGTTAGATATGGTTGACAAGACAAGAAATAGGACCTGAGTGGCAATTTCAATTATGAAGCCCAAGTTTTTCCCTCCATACTGGATGAAATCAGGACAGCCACAGCAGAGATTTATATTAAAAAATGAAGAATGTGCACTGAAGGTGAGACACAAACCAGAACTTGGATTACAAACAACCAAAAAAAAAAAAAATCAGGTACAGTCTGGTAGCTGAAGTATATACTTTAGCAAAAAAAAGAACTAAACTCCTGGAGTTGGAGACAAGTTAACAACCTGAGTGTAATAAACCTGTCACAGGGGCTGAAGGATCCGAGCTAATGTTCTTATAGACTGGGTCTGGATTGTCCTTTGATATGAGTTACTGACAAAAATGTCTCAGAAATGCTGACATGTCCTGCTGGACTGAAACATTAAAATACCATATATTCACTGAGTGACTGATGATCATTTAATTCACTATTTTTACATCCTTTTAAAGGCTAGGTTCTTTGAACCCAGCACGCCTGATTTTTTTGTTTAGTAGAATCACGATTTTAAGAATGAAGCGATGATCACATATTTACTTACAGAGCTTTGTTGGAGGCTTTGACCACTGGCAGCAGCCTCAGAAGAGCCTCCTCTGAAGCATCTATTTCTGTCTTGTTTTGTCTTTCTTTTTTTTGTGCTTATATTTTTATTTTTGTTTTAGCTCACAGACCAATCAGGAAACACCAGGTACAATTTTTTTCTCGTTTGCAAGGGGCAGAAGGAAGTAGCTCACAGGTCCAGTACATCAAGGAAGAAGCTCAGTGAATCTGTCTGCAGAGAAAAGCATCAATCTGTTCCACTGTCTGAATGAACTGAATGATCGTTCTCTAGTGGAGGAGATCCAACATCCCTGAGATCAGGAAGTCTCTCCACAGATAAACTGTCTCCTGCTCAGTGGTCAGCTCTGGTCTTCATCTTACTGTCATCAGAAGAAGATCTGGATGTGTTTGACCTGAAGAAATACTC